CCATCAAGTCTGATGACCTGAATTCAATCGCCAGAATATGTGTGGTTGAAAAACAGTCCTGGTTTCACAAGTTGTCTTCTGACCTCTAATTGCATTGTGTACCTATGTGTGTAAACCTTCAAAATAAGTACGATGTAAAAAAATACAGTTGGGTGGTGGTAACGCTTACCTTTGATCCCAGCACTTTGGAGGGAGAGGCAGGCAGATCTCTGTGAGTTTAAGGCCAGCGGGGTCTACAGAGTGAGATCCAGGACAGGCACCAAAACTACACAGAGAAACCCTGTCTCAAAAAACAACTCCCTCACCCCAACCCCTGCCACCAAAAAAAAAAGGGGGAAAAAATGTAAAAAAACATTATGTTTGGTACACACAAACTTTTTCCTCTCAAGAGTTCCTTTGAGATAGGCATGATAGTACAGTACTAGGATTCCCTTAAATTGTTAAAAATTGTTAAGACCCCTCACCCCAAAGACAGGGGGAGGCAGTCTTTTTAACAGTATGATCCGTGGTAGGTCAACCATACTCCAGGGCAGGCCCCACTACCAAGAGTAGCAGGCAACACAGACTAGATTAAAATAATAATTTAAAAGAACTCCAAGGGAGGTCAGGTGGAGAGGATGGACCTAGGAGGAATGGAGGTGTGTGAATATGATCAAAATACACTATATGGAATTCTCAAAGAATTAATTAAAATACTGTTTTTTAAAAGATTCTGGGACTGGAGAGATGGCTCAGTGGTTAAGAACACTTGCTGTTCTTGCAGAAGACCCAGGTTAATTTTCTAGCACCCAGAGAGTGGTTCACAATCATCTGTAACTCTACTTCCAGAGCACCTAGGTTGTCTTCTGACCACTGCAAACAGCAGATACACATGTGGTGCACATACATACATGCAGGCAAAACACTCATACACATAAAATAAAATCAATCAAAAAATAAATAAATAAGATTACCTCAAAAGCTTTCATTTTTGTGGGTAAAATACACTTCCTATATTTGAAACTAAAGCTGAAATGTTAAAACTATTAATTTAATAAAAAATAAACACATATTACATATTAACATAACCAAAATTTTATGAAAATAACCATTTTTAAAACAGTTTTGCCAAACTATGTAACATCTGAGTTAATGAAAGCCCACTGCCTTCTCATACCTTCCTTGGTGTTCAAAGTTTCAGTATCTCACATCATGTGATCTCTTCACAT